TAAGCTGTGCCAAGGGAGGTTTAGGTTAAATGTCAGAAAGAAATTCTCCACTGAAAGAGTGATTGTGTGCTGGAACCATCTGCCCAGGGAGGTGGTGGAGTCACTGTCCCTGGAGGTGTTTAAAAAAAGACTGGACATGGCACTCAGTGCCTCCTAGCATCAGGAGGTATTAGGTCATAGGTTGGAATAGATGATCTTAAAGATCTTTTCCAACCCAGCTCATTCTGTGATTCTGTAATTCTGTTATTGTGTATCTTAGCACATTTTTATAATACAGGTTTTTGGACCTGCTTTTCTACAGCTGTCAGTTAATCTGGCAGAAGCTGGACAGACACCAGGGTCTGATCTCACTGCTGGGAAGAGGCTGGAACAGCAAGGTGACCAGTCATGCAGTGAGCCCCATGGAACTCATCCATTGTGCTCATGGGTCAGCTTCTCACTTGCTGCCTCTGAAGCTGTTGTGTGCGGTTTTGTTTGCCTCAAAATGCTGTGCTGGGCACTGTCTATTTGGGAACAACTCAAATCTCTGAACAGAGTGGGGAGGAAGCAGCAGCTGGGACAGCAGGCTCACTTGGAGTTAGACTGTTCCAGGTGAGCAGAAGTTGGTCCACAACTGTGTTTCTGCTTTGGTGCAAATCCTGTTGCTCAGGACAGTTCAGTTTCAGCACTGGGTGTACAGGTAACAGTGCTGACTTCAGGTTGCATTGAGCATCTCTGTCTTGTTCACCTGAAGGAAACAGTTTTGTAGTTCTGTAGTACTTCTGTAAAAGAACTTCATATGAATAACAAAGGAACAAGAGGTTTGGATGTTTGGACATTTTGAGATGTACAAAAAGTGACAACTTTCAGAACAATATTTTATCTCCTTCTCTCCCCTCAACTCTTAATTCTGGTTCTCAGTTCAGGATATGCTAAACCACAGCCTGTAAAGGACAGCTGCTGTGTGGGAAAAACAGGGAGAGGCTGGATCTGTGCAACAGGAGCTTGGGCACCAGGGGATTTCCAACAGCCTCTTGAGGCAGGCAGTGCCAGTGACCCTGGTGTTTGTACAGTGATGCTCAGTTAGGCTCTGTAGAACGATACCTGTTTGGATGAGTCAGGTGCTGTTGGGGCAGCCTGCCAGTAAAGACTTTTGCGTATGTGGTTTATTGATTTGCAGAATTCATTGAGGTAGTTCCACATTTCCTAGAACCAGGGCTTGGTATGTCCTCAGATAACCTGTGTTGTTGGATAATCCAGGCAGAATGAGAGGTAAGGCCAGGCAACTGCGGGAGTACAGGAGCAGACTGCTGGAGTGGGCACAAACAGGTTTATGGGAGCAGAGGGAGAACTCAAAGAAGTGCTAAGGCATGAGATGTTCTGGAATAAATTCCCTTTTGCATCACTTGCACATGCCTGTAATCTGCTCTGCAGCTGGGCTTCAGGTTGCTTGGAGTTGGGTTTTTTTTCCCCTAAGCAATTGTGGAATTGAGGTACACTGTGTTGTACCTCTGTAATTTGTAGCTTTGTGTTGGACTTCTGTAATGTAAAAGAATTTGTAATTTTTCTGAAAATGTGGAGAAGTCTGTATTACCAGTGTTACACTTGCCTTTCTCCCCCATTCCTGCCTCTTCATGTATGACTCTGTAACTGGGGGATGGAGCACAGTGGCACATGAGCCAGTTTATAATAAGTAGAAATTAAAAAAGGGATGGAAAATATGAAAGCTAATGAGGAAATATAGTCACATGCCAACAAAGAGAAAAAGATACATCTGAAAATATTGTTGCAGAAGCAGATAAATTTAAATTGGAGATAAAGCCCTACTGGTATTATTTATGGGCCAGGCTCCTTTGTTTTATAGTGGGAAAATGTAAAAAAAGCAGTACTGGGGATCATTGGCAGGAGACTGCTCTTTACCTTTTCTAAAAGCCACATATATTAGATGGCTTCCCATTCTGCAGTGTCTCTGGGAAGGGGGTCCAACCTCATCCTACAGAGGGAAGGACACAAGCTGTTGGTGCAGGGCTCAGCACACAGTGGTCTCACAGCAAACCAGGGACTGCAAGGCTAAAGCAATGTTTAACTCAGATGACTCCTATTTTAATAATTAGCCAATAGCCAGTTCCCATGCTTTGAAGGGCATGTTCTGCTTTGGTGGCATGCAACGTGCCCCCTCTTTTCAGTACTCACCATTAAAAATGCACTGATTTCCAGGACTGACCTGCAAGTGGCTGTTTTATGGGTCTGCCTTGCCCCTTCACCTCACCAGAAGAAAGGGATGAAGTTGAGCACATTGCCACATAAACTGGGAGATGGGCTTGTTTCTGTGGAGCAGTGCTGAGTGAATCTTTCTGGCTGGATTGCAGGCACCCAGCACCCTCCTGGGCCATAGGCTTGGTGGGTAGGAGAGGTGAGACTGCACCACTGAAGGTACAGAGTAGGGCAGGTTTGCTCCCTGAGTGGAGGAGGAGATGATTATTTTCTTGATAAAACCATCTCATTTTCTCCTTGCAATGAAGTTGTGTCAAAATAATACACACAATACTGTGCTCTTGGATTGAATCCAAACTATGAAGTTCATCCTGTGAATATTATTTCTATAGATTTTTTCCTTATATTTTTACATTCAAGTATTCAAGTTGGGTAAGAAAGACCAACAGAGACTGCTTATTTCTTCCAGCAGCTGGCAGGAAAGTAAGACTAGTCATTTTCCCTATGATTTTCCTAAACTTTGGATTAAATCCATGGATGTGGTGTTTTAAGTAGGGAATATTCAGCTTTGTTCTGCTCTGCCTGGTTCAGAACTGCACGTTGAATGTGTCTCTTTCATGCCCAGAAAAGGCAGAGACTTGCTTTCTAGCTGTTTGTGTATAAATGTGTATCCAGGTTGGACAGGTCTGGTGAACAGGGAGAGTTGTGGTCCAGTTAGTGGAGTCTGTCTCCAGTATCCTCTGGAAGTCTCCTAAACTGGATTGCTGATACCTCTCTGTCTCTGTTTCACTCTCTTGAAAATTGTTTTAGAAAAGGAAATTCTGGTGCTGAGGTCACATTTTCTTTTTGTTGAAGTGCATGTTTTTGATCGAGTGAATAAAAGTTTTGCTGCAGAAGAGCATTCCCTCTCTGGGGTTCCTGCAGCCTCACTAAACCTGGCAACAGTTGGTTCTGCCCTTGAAAATGGGCATAAATGGAATTAATTATATGGGGACCAGGTTCAGTAACTGCATTTTAAAAGGCTCTCAGTAAGTTATTAAATCAGCAAGAAAGCAGCACTGAAGCCCAGCAGATGCAGAAGCTGTGTGCTGTGGTAAACCTATGTATGTAAAATTTCTCTCTAAAAAGATTTTAGCACTTCACATGACCTCTGCTAATACTTATTTTGAAGTGACAGTCTGTGTGAGCTGCCTCAGCTGCACACTGCCAGGGGCTATTCTCCAGTCTGAAGTGCTTTCTGGTCAGCATGAAGTGCCCTGATATGAGCTGTTGACTTGTCCTGATAGTTTTTGTTGGCACAAACACAGCCATGACCCAACTGCAATGCCAATGCAGCCATGCTTTCCAACAGCCCTTGCATGTTTTTTCCAAATGCTAAAGCCTGTGACCTGGTTGAATCGAGGTGTAAGAGAGTCCTTTCAGGGATACTACATAAAAATACCTCTTTTTAGTAATTTTAAAATAGATATCTACTCCCCTAGACAGCAGGATATGAGGGTTTGAGGAGGAGGTGTAGGTGTGATCAGTTGGATGGGATGTTGCCTGCATCACATAGGGGCACAGGTCTTCACACCTCAAATGTGTTACATTCAACTGTATTCTCTATATATACTCTCTCTGTGTGTATATATATCTGCTGTCTAGTAATATTTTTCTTCCCACTGCTGCAGATACACCTGAAAGTTTCAGAGTTAGGAAAACCAACTGTTTTCTCTAGTGTGCTGTCCTCTAATGGAAGTGTTGAGCTCCTGCTGACATGACACTCTTTGTGGTCATCGAAATGCTGAGTATTGACAGGTGTCCTTTTCCACATTGTAGCTACTCCTGTAGTTACACCAGTTCCCACAAGACCTCGGGGTCCTTTTCTTAATGCAGTCCTCCATGCTGACTGGCAGACTGAACAGAAAGGCTTTTTGCCTCCCTGAAAATACACTGGACTCATGAAATGAGCAGCAAGTGCTGTTAGAAGGTCACTGGTCACCCAGGTCATTGGAGGCTGCTCCTCACAGTGGAGCTGTCAGGTGTTGTCTCACACAGTGCAGCATTTTCAGTCCAATAAGGCTTAAATTATTTTATACTTGCTGAGACTCTCAACTCTCTGTTGTAGAGCCTAAATGAACAAGCTGCAGCACATAGTCTGCAGAGATGACTGACTGCAGATTATTAATCACATTCTCTGCCCAGGACCAGACAGTGAAGCAGTGACTGACCTTCCATACTGAACTGGACAACTTCAACATTAAAAAGACAGGAAAATATACCAAATAAGATCAGCACATCAAGGCTGCCTGCACCATGATTCCTTGAAGAACACACAATCATTAGCATGAGCAGTGCAGAAATTCTGGTGAATGCATACCTGCTTACATGCAAGAGAACAAAAGAGACTTTTCCTGTGCAATTGCTGTCCATGAAATTAATAAACCACTGAAAACATAACCTGCCTACCACACTCCTTTGGCCCATGATGGTCAGAGAGAGTCAAGCTGGCTGGTTAACAAGGAGAACAAAATCCTTCCCTCCTGCACAACTTAGAGGACCACAGGTACCTGACTCCCAGCTGTAGCCAAGTTACAGGTAACACTTCTAGTACAGAGTGTTCCTAAGAAGGAACATGCAGGTAATCATGCCTAGTTACTCTCCCTTGCCGTCACTAGTAGAGCAAAGTCTTCTTTTCTAGGGTTTCACATTCCAAGTGGACAGTAGAGTGAAGCCCATCAGCGGACTTAGGCCTAAAGAGGAGTTTTGAGTTGCAAGTTGTACATCTGGACCTACACTAACCTCTCGTGGTCTCTTCTTTTTTGTAGGCAACATCTTTGTTGTCAGCTTGTCCGTTGCAGACCTCGTGGTTGCAGTTTATCCCTACCCCCTGATCTTAAGTGCCATCTTCCACAATGGATGGACCATGGGAAACGTCCACTGCCAGATAAGTGGGTTCCTGATGGGCTTGAGTGTCATCGGGTCCATTTTCAACATCACGGCGATCGCCATCAACCGCTACTGCTACATCTGCCACAGCCTTCGGTACGACAAGCTCTTCAACCTGAAGAACACCTGCTGCTATCTCTGCCTCACCTGGACGCTCACGGTGGTGGCAATTGTGCCAAACTTCTTTGTTGGCTCCCTGCAGTATGACCCGCGGATTTACTCGTGCACCTTTGCCCAGACGGTGAGCACGTCGTACACCATCACGGTGGTGGTGGTTCACTTCATCGTCCCGCTCTCCGTCGTGACCTTCTGCTACCTGCGCATCTGGATCCTGGTGATTCAAGTCAAACACCGCGTGAGACAAGACTGCAAGCAGAAACTCAGGGCGGCTGACATCCGAAACTTCTTGACTATGTTTGTGGTTTTTGTCCTTTTTGCTGTGTGCTGGGGACCATTAAATTTTATTGGCCTTGCTGTTTCAATTAATCCTTCAAAAGTGCAGCCACACATTCCGGAATGGCTTTTTGTCCTGAGCTATTTTATGGCCTATTTTAACAGCTGCCTCAATGCTGTGATCTATGGACTTCTTAACCAGAATTTTCGGAAGGAATACAAAAGGATATTGCTGACACTGTGGACTCCCAGGCTGCTGTTCATTGATGTGTCCAAGGGTGGGACAGAAGGGGTGAAAAGCAAGCATTCTCCAGCCATAACAACCAACAACAACCACGCTGAAATACACCTATGAGTCAGGACTACTATTTATTCTGGATTACAGTTGTATATATAATACATAAGAGCCTTTCTAGCTGTGTGCATTGCACAGCTGGCGTTGCCCTCATGCAAGGAAGGAGTCTGCAACCTTTCATGCTTGGCTTATTGCTGTGACATCAAGGCTTTGAATAAGGATTTCCAGAAGGGAAATAACTGATTTTTTTTTAATATGTCATCTTTCACTGTGTGCCTAATTAATCGGTTTGGTTGCTTTTGCCACGAGCATGCCAATACCCGAAAAGGGAAGCGTTCAGAGTGCATGGAGAAATGCAGTTATGCTTGAAATGCAACCTTCGAGAGGCAGAAAAATTGCCATTTATTACACACAAACCTTTCTCCCCTCCCTCTGAATTCTATTTTTCTAGCATTAACTTAACCTGAACTGTATCAAACAAAGTGTAAACTGCATGGCTTTTTACATTATAGATAAGTAACTGTATTAGCCAGCAGGTGTATGTATGGGCATGGTGTGTGTTTTCCTTTTTCTTTTCTCTTAAGGTTTAGGAGCTAGCCTGGGCTAGATGTGAGGCAGGCAGAAGCCAGACCAGTGTGTGTCTGATGCACTCATTTTAATTGAGTATCTACAGACATTAAGTACCCCTGCACTCTCCTTCCCAGGCCATGAGTAAGTTTATGACATATGACATAATCTAATTGCAGTAAGATACTTGGAGCCTGATTCTAATTTAGGCAGTATCTTATCATGGCCAGCAGTCATTCCAAACATCTTTCAATAGTCACTGCTACATGAACATCACAGTAAAAAAGATGAACATAGCACGGTCCCATCTGTGTAACACAGATTGCGACTTTTAAGTTCCAGTAACATTTACACTTGCAGACAAAGGCAGAAGGGGAAGGCAGTGTTGTTACAAAAATCCTTTTTTTTGCACATCACAGAACATGAATTTGCTGATGGGAGAAAAAGTGGAGGTTGTTTTCCCATTTTATTCACGTACAGAGCTGTAATTAACTCACAGAGTGGGGAGACGAAAGCTGCTTAAGCATAATTATGCATCAGTTCTGTTTAAGCCTGGACTGTGCTATCTGTATCACTGGAAACCATGTCATGAAGTTCTGGGGAAGCCAGTATCACATTAGACATAAGCACATGGGCAAAGATAAGGCTGTTTTTTAATGGACTATGAAAGGGGTGTGTGTGTGTGATGGCAGCTGTCTATAGGTAGGACTTCTTTGTTTCCTTAGCTTCATTGTGAATTCATCTCTTTATGGCTTTAAATGTGGATCCTGCTTTGAAACAATCCCATAAAATGACCAGGTAAGACTCCCCTGGTGCAACTGTACCTTCAGGTGAGCAGCCCTGCCTTGAAGCTGGTGTGCTGAGGGGCACAGCAGGGAGAGGGGCAGCTCTGAGCCCTGGGGGTCTAACGAGGACAGCAGGCAGTCCTGCCCCTGCTCCAGGACTGCACTCTTCTCTCTTTGGTTCTAGTCAGGACTAGTTCCCAGCACTGAGCCTGAAAGACTGAGACCAGACTTCGCAGGCTCCTGGAGATGTATGCAGGATTTCCCCAAAGCCTGAGCAGGCAGTGTGCCTAATCCTTAGTGAAAATAATAAGCCATTTGTGCACTGCTTTCTGAAACCAACTTGCTGCTGAATGTCCCTTCTGCTGATTTTTTTTGGGGAAGAGGAATTGAGAGAAATTAAGGCTCTTTCTGAAGTGGGCCAAGGAACTTTGCATGCTGCGTTGCCTCCATGAGGACCGAGTGTCTCTGCTGCCATGTGGTGAAGGTCACTGCAGTAACAGGGGGGCCCTGCATTAATAGGGTGCCCTGGCACTTAGGAAGTTTCAAACTTGAACATCTCCGCCACTTCAGATGAATGTTGTTTTAAAATGCACTGCAGCCAGCCTCCCATAATAGGAATCAAACTGAGTTCTGTTTTGGCCTCTTAATCTGTCTCAGCATGGCCAAATAAAGGTATTTTGACCCTCAGAAATAACTGTTGTCTGTTCGCCTTCCAGAAAAACCACCCTGGATGAATTCACACCATTCCATGCAAGCAAAATCATTTTGAATTAAACTTGGATAAGAAAAGCACTGAGGGCACATAGCTGCAGGGAGTGTTTGTCCCATCACGCCTGGGAGATGTCCCGTGTTCCATGACTTGCCTTCAAAGTCATTTGCAATTAGCCACAACAGTGTTAGTTAGAATCACATTAGCAAATTATTTGAAGCATCTAGTGCCAAGTGAAATATTCTGCTTTAAGACAATTGTGAAGAATCTTGTGCAAGTTTGCCAAATATCTCAAATATCCCAAAGCTGGGGTTTCATTTTAGGATTCTTGTCTTTTTAACTGAATGTTCAGTGGAGGAAATGTGGGGGGGGTTTATTATTATTTTATTCCTTAAGCTTGTATTTGCACTATTTCCTATTCAGGCTCCAAAGTTAACAGCCAGCAAGTATTTGAACCAAACCAAGTCCAAAGAGGTCCTGAACAGGCAAGCTGTGAGAGTCCCTTCTCCAGCTGGCAGGAATGGGAGCAGCAGGAGCACGATAGGGCATCTCCCCAGGACTCACAGAGTCACCACTCAACCAAACTATGCAAAATGATCTGCTCCTGTTGTGCCACAGGCTCTGAGCCCAGCTGCTGCCCAGATCTCTGCCAGGTGAGGTACCAGGGGCCAGGTGAGGTACCTGCAGTGCTGGGGTGGCTCTGGCACAGCCTGCTCAGAAGGCTCTGGCTGTCCCAGGGAGGTGCCAGGGCTGGGCTGGTTCAGCCACCGTGGCTGGAGGCTTGAGCTCAGTCTGCTGGAGCTGAGGTTTGCCATATGAACCATGGGAAGCAGGGAATGTAGCCTCAAAGAGGAAACACTGTGCAGTTTGTTAGCACTTTGAGAGAGGCAGCGCTTAGGATAGCATGGAGTTTTATATTGACTTATTAAACTACCCAAGCAGCTCCTTATTTTTATGTTAGGAAATGGTTAACAGGGTACAGAGAGTTTATTTTTGTTAGCATTTGTTTACAGAAAAAGGGAAGTGTGTATTAGCTGAGAATTCTGAGCAGTGTCACAGTTTCCCTATGGGAATCTAGCTTTAGTCCAAATTTGAGATTTCAGTGAGATCCTACAATTTTAATTGCATTCTGCCAGTTCCACCTGTTGCATATCTGGCCTTAAGTCTCATTGAGATTTCATAAACTAGTTTCAAATCACTTGCTCTGGGTTTGATATGGTGTGTTGAATATCTATTCTAGTCTCAAGCTCTAAAATTGTTGTGGTGGAAACTTCTGGAGAGGAAGTATTGCTGTGAAGAAAGATTAATCTCTTGCCACAAAGAAATATTTTTGGATGTTGCTAATGAATGTTGTTTCATCAATTTAAGAAGAATGTAACCAATATATTTATATATAAATGTATATTGTATATACTGTTTCCACTTTAATGTTTAATTGAGAATCCTTCAATATACTTTCCTCTTGCCATTTTTGTTCATAAAATAGATTAATTCCCTTTACCTGTTAAAAGTGTAATAAATCTGCCATTGGACTATTTACTGATTTTTTTTTCTCCAGTAGCAGTTACTTTTTAATAAATATTTGGAACATCACCTTGAGTTTTGTTGACTCACAGAATGCAGATTGAATTGACAAACATGTTTGAGTTCACACATATCTCAGCAGCCCAGCTTGGACCTGGAGGTGAATGGCCAAGGCATCTGAGACATCTCCTTGGATTCACATGTTTTCTTCCTCTTGCCTGTGGGCCAGCTGCCTGATGCACTCTGGCCTTCCTCATCAGGGAAGAAACTTTCTCCACACAGCCATTGCTCTTCTCACTGTGTGCCCCTGCAATGTCCTTTGCCTTTCTTGTCCCTGCCCATGCCTACCCTTGTGTCTGTCCAGGGGTGCTGTGGGAGCAGAGTTTGTCACATCCCTTCCCTTGCTCCTTCCTGGGAAGGACAGCACAGCTGAGCTGTCGGCAGGAGGGTGTGGGAGCCAGGGGGGCTGTAAGCCAGGGCACAAGGTGGTGCTGGCTGGTGGGGAAGGGATGGGACAGAGAGGGTCACCCCGGGCTGGGGGCACAGGGAGGGCTGGCACACACTTGGTCTGCGTCAGGGAGCTTTGTGAGGATGCTGCATCCAGGATGTTCTGTTTGTGCTCTTTCCCCCACCTCTGTTTTGGGGCAGGTTTTGCTGTACTCCTTGAGTTCTTCAGCCATTAGGTTCTATCCACAGCTTGCACTGATTATATTCCTGTGCTCACTTCACTGGAGCTGTTCTGGGGGAGTCCCTGAGCTGGTTGTGAAGCAGGGAATGTGGGAGTATGGAGGGGCCCAATGGTAACTGCAACTTGAGCTCCTGTTTCCTAACCAGATGTCACATAGAACCATGGTGTTAAGGTACTAGAGGCTGAGATTATCCAGGAAAACAAAGAACAACTGTTAAACCAAAGAACTGCTAAAAAGCCATGGAGCACACGTGTTGAATGAACCAGGAATATTCATTCAATTACATCCCCAAGCAGTTTTGATACTTTTTTTCCCTAATCTTTTCCAACAGGTACTGGACTTCACCTGCTGCTTCTACAATGAAGCCTGAAATGCTTGGTGTTGTGACATGCTAAAAGCAGTTTTTATGACAGTGGCAAATCTCAAAATGTTTCTCTGTGCAGAGCTGCCAGAAAACCCTTTCATGGACTTGTACCTGCTGTTTCTACCATGTGGAACAGAATAAATTGAACTGTCAGAAGTAAGGCAGTGTTATTTATTTACTTACTTGTCATAAAGTATAGTAACTGGGAGATAAGACAGAGATATAAAACACAAGAGGTGTGGAAATTTAATACCAGGATAAAATCTCACTCATGGTGACTATTTAGAAACCAATATTTTTCCTAATGTATTTACCTCCAAGCTTATAATTTATAACATGAAACCAGTCAGTAAAGAGCTACTGCATATGGATTTAGAATTTTATTGAAAAAATGTAAATCACTGGACTTAATGTAATACTTCTTACCACAAAAACCCTGAGATAAGAAATGCAGAATAGGTTCTTGTAAGAACTCTGTGATGGAATATGCAAATTTTTTTCATTGGTGATAAGAACCATAAAATTCATATCACTCATGAACTACACTTGTGAATGGAAGCTCCATAATATTGTTAACTGAATTTTCATTTTCAAGTGCTTGTTCATAATATCCATTATTCATGGGCTATAAGTACTGTACAGCAGAGATAGAATTTACAGTACAGGGTCGATTTCCAGAGCAAACAAGGTAGGTCTGAACCATTAACTGAAATATGTTTCTATATTTTCTGCCAAGCATGGTCTCCTGATAAGGTTTTTAACTCAAATGATTGCTTCTAAGAGTTCAGGGAAACTTTAATGTCTTTTAGATTAGGTGCAATGTCTGCACAGTCACGGCTTGCTTAGATTACCTTCTAAATAGACTTGAGCCATCAAACATTTTGTGTCTGTCCAGTTGAAGCACATAATTTATTTTGTAAGTGGAGTATTTTATACATAGCACATTTAATAAACTGTTATGTCCTTCCTTCATCATTGTGCTTCTCCTGCAAGCAAAATTTCTGAATTTCACTGGAAATAGGATGCAACGTTGTTTTCTCAACTGTAAGCAGGTTGCTTTGCCTCGAGGTAGGTTTCCACTGGTTTTTATAAGTGTGTTAGATAGAGGTTTAATGTGGCATCAAAATACAACCATCTTCTGGCTGAAAAGAGACAGCTGGTTTGCAATTTTTAAAAAAAGGGCATGGAAAAAGCACCAAAACAATTTGTAGGAAGTAATTGTAATAGACATTTTTGGTTGAAATAAGAGAGAAATATTTGAAGGGATTGTACTAAACTGGGACCTGGCCAGGACAATGAAGTTAAGAGACCCTGTAATATAAAAAATGACCCAAGGATTTTTATGGCACAGGGACATGCAGGTGGCAGGGAATGGGTGTCTGGCTACAGAGAAACAGTCAATACAGTAAGGAAAATGAAAGAAACCTAGAGTAAACCAGAGCGCACTTTGGAAACTATTCAATGAACACATGTATTGGTAGTTTAGTAAGATTTTGCTTTTGGTCTTTTTTCCTCCCCAGCTATGATTTTGTTGTAAATAAAATGAAGTAGTCACTGACAAGTGCTCCCAAAGGACAATTTGCTTTTGGTTTGTGTCTGGCTGTAGGGAGCCCCAAGCTGTAGGAATGGCAACCTGGGCACAGCTTGGCCAGCAGGGATAGGATGGGGCTAATGAGCTGGCCCTGGGCAGAGTGGAGCCCTCAAGGGCTAAAATCCCCCTGGGGAGAGGCTCTGCTTTCCCAGGCAGGGAATGGCTGGGAGAGGAGGATGCTGTTGGGCTGTGGTTGCTGTGGGAGGATGGATTGTAGAAGAATAAGAGATTGAAGACTAAAGAACAAGAGCTAGTGCAGCAGGCAATCTCACCCCTGAGGAGTTGCAGCTGTGCTAATTACCATGGATTGGGAACAGGCCTGCCCTTAATAGGCACAGGTGTATCCAATGAGGCTGAGTGTTATAAAGGTGGGCTGGGGAGCTCAGGGAGCGTTGGAGTCGCTTGGCAGTGCTGTGGTGAGGAGGAAGGAGCCAGCTGGCTGTGAGGAGCTACCCATAAGACTTCACAAAGAAGGTATGGAAGTTTTGCAATCAGAAGATGATGACAGGTTGCTGTGCCAGCCCCAGGGGCACTGCAGGGCTCCAGCACCTCGAGGTGGTGCAAAACTGGGGCCACATCCAGTTCCAGTTGGGTCTGGTGAGACTAAACCAGAAGAGAACCACACTGAGGCAGGATGGGACAGTTCTGCTGGGGGTGGGAGGGAGGATTGCTTCCTTGGCACAATGCTCTTTGTGGGAAAGTCAAAAGATGTGCAGAAAGCAGATACCTCCTGTGGGAAACAGAGCTGCTCTGTGCTTGTAGCCTGTGGCTGTCTCTGCCCTGCTGGTGGTGGTGGAGGAATTACAGTGGTGACAAGGGGTGTTTGTCACACCCAGGACCTGTCCTTGCTGCTGTGCCCTCCCAGCCCTCCTGTCCTCACAGAGCTGCTGTGCTCCTGGCTGAGCTGGTGACACCAAGTACACCTAGCCCTGCCTGGGGGTGTGAGAAATGTTAAATATTTAGGCAATGACACAGGTTAAACCCTGCCTGGGTTAGTCATAACCAAGCCCTGCAAGAGAGTGGTAGCAGGGCCTTTGTCTGCAAACCTTGAGTGCAAATGATTACACTTGAGACTCTCCTGATGTCTCCTAGACCAGAAATTCCCCTCCTTCCCGGGCTCATCCCTTCCCTGTAGGTCACCACTGAAAGAGAATAATAGACAGATGAAGGAAAAAGAACTGTGCTTTGACTTGAAGCCCTTTGGAATCTGGAGTAGACCTTATACTGCTTTCCTCATTGTATAGAAGTGTGTATATGTATGATTATTTATTTATTGACACAGCCTTGGTTTTCCTAGAGGAATCAAGACCAGACATACATTTAAAATAATTTGCTACACAAAAGTTCTGGGTTTTTTTCCTCCTGGGCACTTCAGAACAGATGGAAAATGCAGCAGGTGCTGCTAATGTTTTTCTACCCTTGGGAAAACTTGTCACAGTTACCTGTTTATCTTGTTTATTTTGACATTTTGCAGGGTGGTTAGAGGTGAACTCTTACAGATTCACATATTCTTGAACAATTGAAAACCAATAACTTACAAGCAACAAAGAAAAATGTGGGGTTTGGTGCATGTGGAAGACGGCTCGTATTTTTATTTTTACTGAGGAAATGCCATGGAATTATTTGTGTTGGAAGGGACTATAAAGCTCATTCAATCCCAGCTCCCCTGCCATGGGCAGGGACACCTTCCACTGCACCAGGTTGCTCAAAGCCCCATCGTGTCCTTGAACACTTCCAGGGATGGGGCAGCCACAACCTCTCTGGATTACCTGTACCAGGGCCTCACCACCCTCACAGGGAAGAATTTCTTCCTTATATCTAATCTAACCCTGTCCTCTATCAGTTTGGAGCTATTATTCCTTGTCCTGTTATTCCATGCCCTTGTACAAATCCCTCTCCAGTCTCTTGTGGCTCCTGTAAGTGCTGGGAAGTGCTGTAAGGTCACCCTGGAGCCCCTGTATTTCCATCAGGGAATGCAGGGGTTTGCACTTTGTGTATCACTGACTGAAAAGTGTAAAATGAGCTTTGCTTTAGTTGCCATGCAAAAGCTTTTCCTTTGCTTTTCAACAGGAAGCTGAAGCCTCAGTTTATTTTTGCCATGTTCTTAGGACTGTGCAGAAGAAGAATGAGGAGGTTGCTAACACAGACACTGGAGGGTTTCCTGTGCTCAGCATGTTTAAAAAGTGGAGTTTGTAGATGATAGCCAGGCCAGTTGTGCTGGCTGTCTGCTGAGTCCTGTTCAGCTGCAGTGTCTTTGTAACAGCTCAGGAGTGGGGATGCTTCTCCCCTGCTGATCCCTCTGAGGCCTGGAGAGATTTGGCCAGGCTTTGTTCCCAGAAGGAAATAAAGACTTTGTTTTTAATTGCAGGTCCTTGGGCTGACAGAATGTGTCATTTCAGGTGACAGGCCTTTCCCTCACTCTGTT